CTAGGGATGCACAGATACTATCGAGTACCAGTGCAGATACTAGGCATTTTCATGAGAACTACCAGGGTTGCAGCGGTTGCAGCTGGGACCTGGCTCTGGCACTCCATCACTGTCCTGAAATCATTAGTCTGTTTTAGAAAAACTGTCACATGACAATGAAAAAAATGTATCAGTACTCGTACTTGTAAGTACTCGGCAAGTACCAGTACTCGTACTCGCAAAACTGGTATCTGTGCATCCCTTTATTTATATTTATAAAAACAAAATCGTACATTAAAACCGAGATGTACAAATCCCAGGAGCTCCGTGTGCTCCGTACAAATGACAGCTGCCTCCTAATTTTTGAATTTTTCTCTAGTGTAGTCTTTGAGCTCAAAAGTATCGGTACTTGTACTTGTACCGAGTACTGTACTTGGTATCTGTGCAACCCTAACATTTTCATCCTAAATGTCATTTTTGTAGAAGTATATCTTACAGGTGCGCAGCTTCACATTTTAAGATATCACCCACTTGAAGACCAGGTGTACACCCCGTTCCTGGCCAGGCCATTTTCAGTATTCAGCACTGCTGTGTTTTGACTGACATTTATTCCGTCATGCAATGCTGTACTGAAATGAATTGTATACCATGTTTTGGGGACAGATAGAGCTTTCTTTTGGTGGTATTTAATAACCACTGCGGTTTTTATTTTTTACTATATTAAGGAAAAATTGCTGAAAGTTTTTTACATTATGTTATACATACATTTATTATTACCAATGTTTTGTTAAAATATAAAAGACGCGGTCACGTCGGGTAAATAGACACCAACATGCTAAGCGTTAAAATTGCGTGCCCCTGTGAAATCGCAAAAAAAAACGACCATACCCAAAATTTACCATAAGCGACGCTTTAAAAGCTTTTACCGCTCATCGGTTTAGTCTTGCGATGTTTGCGGCGATATGTAACATGTGCAAAGTAATGGGTGCAATCGTTGTTTTCACACGTATGCCCACCCGACGCATGTTTGCACACGTGTATGTATGGGTGGGGATGTTAAAAAAAAAATGTGTTTTTTTTTTTTGCTTGTTTTTTTTTATTCCTTTTCATGTGTACCTTTAATTTTTTTTTTCCAACTTTAATTTTTTTCCCTATTTTTTTTTCTCTTAACTTTGTCACACAAGAATGCGGAAGTGATGTAATATAAATCATTTCCCGCATTCTGACAGCGGAGAGGGGACCGGAGGGAGATTGTGTAGCAAGGGCACAGCAGAGCTCGGAACCAGCGGGAGGGGGGACCGCGGAGGGGGGGCGCACACACTGGCACGTTATAAAAGCGATCCGCCAGTTCTATAGCCGGCGGATCGCTTGTATGTAAACAGGAATCGCTGCCTGTTTTTAAATCCGGGCAGTTTCCCGCTCGTGTGTGGAGTGGTGCGCTTGAGTGGGCGGGGCTAACAGGCCGTCTTTTGACGGCCTGTTTCATCCAGGAAACTCCTGGCCGCCCGTTATATGACAACGGCCGGGAGGCAGTTAAATGATCTGTGTATTTTATGTTGCCCTTCAAGCTACATTAAAAGACCGGCTTCCTGCTGTAAGTTATTTTTTACAATTATTTTTTTTTTGTGGAATTGGTACACTTCCCTCATAGCAGTGCCCAGCTCCCCATGTCCTTTTTAAACAATGCTTACAAATTGCCTCTAAAAGAGGGCAGAAAAAAATAGTAAGAATCAGGGTTTGTGGATTTCCTGCTGGTTTTGGCAAAGATTTACCCAGCAGCTAAACTGCAGTGACTGATATACAATTGACACTCACAAAAACGTGGTCCTAAAAAGGACTGTTGAATAAGAATGAGCTTTGTGTTTGAGTTTGAGTTGACCATGACCATGATTTGAACCTGAATCCAGGTTCGGTTTGCTGAATGGGCAAGTGATTTCGCCAGTTCGCCAGCCCATTGAACCTCCATCTCTGTCCTAGCAACCAATGGTGCTCTATAATTGGTGGACTGGTGGCTGAGCCACACAGTGATTGCTAGGACACCCGTTTGGTTTTTTTAGCAACCAATGTCGCTGTGCAGCCCAGCCACTAGCATCCTAGCAACCAATACCGTGGTGTGTCATTGCTTTTGGCTTTTCTTCCATTTTTCTCTATTCTGTCTGAAGCTAAAAATGTTTTGGCTATATATACACTTTGAGAGTAAATTTTTTTATTAAGAATCACTTCATTATTTCACCCACACTTGGAAAGACCTCAAAGTACTGTAATTCATAAAACAATTTTTTTCTTTGTTAGAATTTGTCATCTTCCAGACCTGGACTGGGCAGTTCCCCAGTTCATAGTTGGTTAATTACCAGTATTTAAGTAGACATAAAGAAACAAAAAATCTGATACACAAAAGAACATTTTTTTTATATATACTTAGGGTCATCCAAAGAGAATTAGAAAAAAATACTGATCATATTTTACAATAATGCAGTTAATAAACATACACAAATCACTAAACCCACGCAATTATTTACAGGGGCATATTTTGGAATCAAAGACATTATATTTTATGGTGCCAAACATTCAATTTATTTGCATATCTTAAAAAGATATAGGAATGTTTAAAACTTGAAAACTGAGTTAAAACAGGAGGAATCATCTCACAGATAACAGGGATATATGCAGTGCATACAGGTTTTAGGTTAACTGAGCAGAAAGAACTAAGCATTAAGTGTAGGGAAAGAAATGGTTCCAAATGAAGGTTAAATATTAACAAAGCAATTAGACATGTATTTACCCCAAAAAATAGTGTTTTTAAAGAGAATATAATTTTAATTATCATTGTAATTTCTATGTAATAAGCTTTTTTTAATTAGATAATTAACAAATATACTTTTCAAAGTAACCTTTGTCCAGATCTTTACGTTTCTGATCAAGCAAGCAGCTCCCCCTAGTGTGACAAACTGGAAAAACCATTGATTAACTGTTGTATTTGTGGCTCTAAGTCATGAACAGCAATTTCTAAATCTCTACAAGTAAATGTATACTGCAGTTTCTACTGGAAGGAATAATAGAAAATCTTTGGAAGGGTAGGAACTGAAAAAACACATATAATTATGGGTGTAAACTTCAGTGTCAAGAGCACTAACCATCAAAATATACCCAAATAGAGGCATTAACATATATTAATTCCATATATTCCTGCAGGAAAAAAAAAACCCTGTGCTGTGGTAACCAGTAAAGAGTTGTACCACTCTATTTGTGCAAAGAATCTCAGGTTAAAGACGAACTCCTGGCGGATATTTTTAAAAAAATGGATGCAGTTACCTATGTATTTAAACATTTTTTTTTTTTTTAAATACAACTAGTATAAATACCTAAAGTTGACTTATTTTTATCTTCTCCCCTCTACAGCAGCATTAGGAGACTAGGAGAGTAAAAGACAATGCTAATTATGTTTGCTGTATTCGCATGTGCTGACCAAAAAGATGCTGATCGGGAGAGCAGATAGATTGTTTTGTTGCTGCTCCTTCTCTGTCCAGCCACAGGCTGCGGAGGAGAGGAGAAATTTTGGGGCCCCTTACATGGCTTTAGAACGGCCCCCTTCCCCCGCACCGCCGCCACACTGTTATTATTCTACATTTATGTGGATAACCTCCTCATGTATCACTTCCCCCCTCCCTTTTAGATTGTAAGCCCTCAGGGGCAGGGCCCTCCTTACCATCTTGTCTTGAATTGTGATTGTAATGCCTTCCTTATATTGTAAAGTGCTGCTCAAACTGTTGGTGCTATATAATCCTGTATAACAATAATACATTTATATAGCTCTGATATATACCACAATGCTGTACAGAGAACACTGAGCCAGTTACACCAGTCTCTGTACAGAGGTGCTTACACTCTAATGTCCCCCCACAGTCACACACTATTATTATACATTGATATAGCTCTGGCATATATCGCAGTGCTGTACAGAGAACACTGAGCCAGTCCCATCACTCAAGCGTGGTGTGCAATAATGTGAAATGGAAAGTGTAAAATTATACAGCAATCAATGTAGAATACCACCAACTATAGAGCACTACAAATCCCAGCAATAATACATTATACAACACAATGCAGAATACCACCAGCTATAGAGGAGTACAACACATTATACATACAGTGTACAATGTATTGCTGGGATTTGTATTCCTCTATAGCTGATGGTACATGTACAGTGCAATATACTGTACCATTAGTGACGCTTACTCTCTATGGTGGGCTCTGCAGGGGTCTCAGGTGGGCTGGTCAGGGCTTCATCCCCGTCCCAGCTCCTCTTACCTGCTCCTGGTGCCTGTACACCTGGCCGCCCCTGCTGCCGGATTGGAAGTAATGTCACTTCCGTCCGGTCCCACATCAGACGAGCAGCAGTGCTGATGGGGCCCCAGCCTGTCTCGAAGCCGCTGGATCGGCAATGCTGGGGCCCTGCACTGCTAGGGCCAGGCCTTCCCTCCTCGCCTTTCACTGTCGGCCAATACTCATGTAAGGGTCCTTGGCGGGCCCCCCAGGCTGCCTGGGCCCCTTACGTGAGTATCGGCCGTACCCCCTGATGGCAGCCCTGAGGTTACCCAACTGTGTGCTAGAGCTGGGTTTCTTTTTAATCTGGATGGACAGAAAATCAAACAATTAGCAGGTAATAAAGCTACCAAATATGTACTTCAAATATGTATTTAACAATTTGCTAGAAGTTCAGCTTATATATTTGCATGTTTATTTAATGTAGACATACTGTATAACACATCCACATACCCACTTCTCTGAGCTTAAACTGTGGCAGGTTTAGATGAGCAAGCCATTAAATGTTCTGTAGGCCTTGACCTAATGGTGTTACTGGGGCAAATGTACAAGTCTTCACAGTAGCATAGCAGTTATAGGCATAGATATACTGTATATTTAGTAGGGAGTCTTATAGCCCAGGTTCAAATACACTTGGTTCTGTTCAGGGAGAGGAAATCAGCTCCATGACTGTCCTTTTTTAATGCAAACAGTGTTCATTATACATTTTTTTCTGTGTCATTCTGTTGTTGCACCTGAGTGCTTCTTTCTTGCCCGTCCTCATGTGAGGCTGTTGTTGAGCCGCCAGTGCCATTAACTGGTGGGGAAATGAGCTGTGCAGATTGGAGAACAGCCTCAGAATGCTCTCTTGCTTTCATTCGAAGAGCTGCAACACTTGCTGTGCGGTGACTCTGGCAGTTGTAAGGCGGTAGAAAAGAGAGAGCCAGGGGATCGGACACACAGCAGGAGCATAAAGGACCACCTGGAGGAGTATATGAAAATATCAACATCTTCTTAATTTATGCAAATTACACAATTACAATTTATATTTTCATTTTGTGTTGATCAATATTGAATATAAACCACAAGTACAAAATACTCTAGCCCTTACTCTTGACCAATAATTTTATCAAATATTTACCAAAGTGTCTTTCCCACACATTCTTCTAATAGAAAAAGCTATGGTTTAAAAAGCATACCTCTCAACTGTCCCTCATTTGGAAAGACTGTCTCTAATTTGGAACAACACAATTGTGGATTGCTAACACAGCGGCCTCCTGGTATAACCTCTCCCCCTTGGATTATAAACAATTATAGCAAAAAAAGAGAGAACAGGGGTTTGAAGAGAGGTATAACACCACAGCATGGAGATATTGTATAAAAATAGAATTTATTTTACATTAAATAGTATAAAAAACATGTGTACAAAATAATTGCACTAAACCGAAAACACCATTATTATAAACAGGAGCATAGGCCCATGAATAATCTTATATCCCCATATATCTAATTACATTCAATTGATACTCAGTATATATTCAATGGGAGATTAGTATATCCAGTTCCAACGCGTTTCACACACTGATTCATCAGGGGATCATGGACTAATCTAACAAAAAATGGTATATTCAATTAATTCATCTGAACTATATAACATATCCATATGGGTCTATTGCAGGGTATACAGAAAGATGAGCTTTTGGCAGTTAAACCAAACAGAGAGAGCCCGATCACCACTACCACCAATATACACCCGGCACTTACCACACACTTTATTAGTTTTTTATTAGTGCTAAGAAGATTTTCCCCTACAGAATGTAAAAGAACCATTTTGTTTAACTGTGAAACAGTATACAGTTTGAAAACAAAGAGGAGTTTTCATCCCTAAATATAACCAACTGACAATTTTACTTTTATACTTTGAATGCAGAAGTTTTTTTTGCATTTTAAAAAGTTACACTGTTTATTCACAGTTCTGTTCCCACCCCTCCACTACTTCATTCAAATTTATAACATAGCTTTCATGACATAGAAGCTGCTAATGCATCATGGAAAAAATATTTGAAAATGTATCTAGCATCAAATATACAATATTTTTTTTATAATAAATGCATGCATACAGTAAGTGTAACACATAAACATTTTACTGGTTTTAAACAAAGTTGACACCAGAATACGGGGCTGATGTATAAAACTTGCACCCATTTATAGCTAAACGGATTACACAGTATTATTGCCACTAGATGGAGCCAAGGAGCATAGGATATGCTCCTCGACTCCATATAGTGGCCATGTAATGAATGGCATTTACCCAACTATATCCTGGGTGGTAGTCTCATACATCAGTCCCTAAGCAGTGACGTGCCATGCCTTCTGTGCTGGGTGAGGCATCCCCCAGCCTTTCATAGCTCTGCCCCATCCCACTGAAGCCCCACCCTGTCTTGCCAAAGCCCCACCCCCAGCTCGGTAACAAAGCTGTGTGGGGAGGAGGAAGGGAGTAGGCTCCCTGTCCCTCACTTGCTCGTCACTGGTGAGGCATCAAGATCGATGTCCTCACTTTTTTTTTTCTTTTGTTTTTTTTTATTGGACAGCTTGGACCAATGGTGCTTTGCCATTGGTCCAAACCATCCACAGAGCTCATGCCTCCAGCACAGAGTAGAGGCTGTGACAGCTCTTGCCTCACTAGGTTAGGTTACACAAAGCAGTGGGGAAGCCTGCTGCTGTGTAACTTAACTATGTGTCAAATCTAATTAACAGACAGCACTCCCTCCATGACAGGTTACACAGCAGGGAGGCTTTCCATGCGGTGTAACCTGTTACAAGCCGCTCTGAATGTAGAAAAAGCTGTCAGCTTCAGACTTGAAGCTGATAGCGGTTTCCTCCATAATACTAGGTGAGGCTCTGCCTCACCTGCCTCCCCTGACCCTAAGTGTGTGCTTACAAGGATGTAAACTATACTATGGGTGGGATTGATTTAAATAGTACCCCTGGCAATGCCATTATTGCTTTTTTTTCTACATAAGGACAACACCATCTTAGTTCAGGCATCATCAGGGGTTAGCATTTGTGTTCAAAATTGTCTGACTCATAGCCCCACC